TAATTAGGTGTATTCTTTTAATATTTTCTTTTAAATTAAGAAATTGACTAATGTATAATACTAAAATTTGAATTAGAATCTACAATCTAATACCAAACTTATTGACATATATTCATAAAATAGTAGTTCAATAAAATTTTGAATGCAAGTCAACAAATGCAATGACATGGCTTTTGACCCATGTCGATGGGGTTAAACCTTTGAAAATTGATTCATTTAATTGTCCCAAGTGGTCGGCTGTCTGGCAGTGTTTCCAAGATGTATTCTAAATGTTAATTAATACATTGTTGGTTTCAAGGTTGAATAGTAGTCTTGCAGATATTATCTTTTCTAGCAGTTTACCTATACAGTTAAGGAAGCTAACTGGCCGGTAACTGTCTGGATGACTTAGTTCATTACTTTTCTTTGAGATAATGCTAATCATGGCAGTTTTTCATATTTATAAGTAAGTAACTCTCTCAACATAGATTGGGTTGATTTGACCAACATCCTAACCACTTTATACTTGTTAATATTTTCTATACTATAACTTGTAATACAGTATGTGTATTGTCACAAAATTTGGCAGACTTTTAGTAAACATTACATGTCATTTGTACACGAAAAGTCAGTTTTTTTTTTAATGAAGTATTTTTACTAAAGATTTGTCCTTGAATATATTGAATCTTTTTTTTTTTTTGCAAAATAAATTTAAATTAAGATTGAAAATACTTTTTCTTGTCTCAAAAATCTCAAATTTTATGTGTGTAACCTGTAAGACCTCCTAAGTAAACATACAATAATTTTTCTGTAAAACTATATTTTATCTGTTAACTCTACCCTAACAATATGTTTGATTCTTCAGTCAGCAAACAAATCATCAAAGTATAAAGAAAAGCTGTAAAATCAGAAATAAAATGAGCAGCTGTGCACTTTTATTATTATTGTTTACGAAGTTTCAAAGTACTTCTATTGAGAGTTTTAACTGCTAAACATTTCACATTTATTTTCTGTGTTCATTTTACTGTCAGTGACTGAAGTAGAAATTCTCTGAAAATAAAGCAACAAATCACTGCTTGTGTTATTAGACTGTTTACATGACACCATAATATGATACTCTCGAGAGCAACAAAGCATATGCAAAGAAATAAGCCAACTTGACCCCTTCTCCGAGAACATGATGTGAAATTTATCAGCTTATGTATCCTACAGTGTTTACGAGAATTCCCGAAGTAATAAGATTGCACTTTGAACCTGTGAAATATTTATTATATGGTTCACAGCCAATCCAATAAACATCACAAGTGTTTGAGTATTTGTCATCCTTCTGGGATATTTGGAATTTAATGATATATCGTATAGGCATACAAAGATATTATTTGTATGTATAGTTATAAAATCCTATTTCCCTTTCAGCAAACTTATTCATCAACCAATAAATACTAGTTATTCACAAATGCTTAAATTTTAGCAATCTTTATTAAAGCAAAGAAGAATAAATAAAAAATACTTTGAAAAACAAAGATTTTGAGTACTTACAGTGTTACAAAATTTTATGCATTGTACTTGCTAAGCCTCGCTGTAATCTTCATTTATTCTTCTGAGTGGAGGGTGAAGAGATTAATTTTTGTAGGCTTCAAATATACATTTTGGAAAATAAAATGTTTGACTTACTGTCTTAGTGCACACAAAACTCCTGAAATTTATCTAGGTTTCTAAACAAGCTATATATGACTTTATAAAAGTCTCACACCAGTTCAGAGCAACAACTTAGTTATCACACTTCAACAGTTTCGGTGAAATTACGACTTTCTCCTTCAAGCTATTTACAAATGACTATCAGATTTTTGTACATAGGAAACTGTTCTTTCTCTTGGTAGTAAACTCTTAGTCAAAAAAGATAGGTGGGATTAGACAAGAGGTTTCAAAAGAATGGAGTAGTGGGAGGGGCAACTCAATGAGATTGGCTAAATACACTGAGTGGTCACAAGTAAATAGACACCTAATTTTTCATCATTTAACTAATTTATGCTAACTAATTTGTGTTCACAGAGCACTATATAAATGAAAATGGTTTGCACACCAATTATCTTGTGCTACAACATGCCTAGAACTCAAGGTTCTCTCGAATTGTCAGATTTTGTTAGAGGAAGAATAGTTGGGCAAGCAGATGGTGGAATAAGTCAGCGGCAAATTTCGCAGAATTTGGGAATCATGCTTTCGACAGTCAACAGAATCATCGGGCAGTTCAGGAAACATGGCAAGGAAACAACTGAGCAGCGTCCGGGTCGTCCTGGTCCATCAGAGAGAACAAAAAGGGCTGTCAATAAGAGCATCGAAATGGGTCCCAGATTAACGACTGCAGAAGTGGCCAAAGTTGGTGGGATGAGCCTGAAATCTGTTCAACGGATTCTCCACAGATTGGGTTATCGTTACAGAGCAGCTAGACTGAAGCCCTTACTAAGACCTGCCAACATAGTCAGATGAAAGAAGTAGACAAGTGGTATGATGACCGAGCCTCTGGACTTTTGGAAGACCGTATTGTTCTCAGACGAATCAACATTTACTCAATTTTCGGACAGTGGAAGGATATGGGTCTGGAGAATGCCTCACCAAGAGTTTTGGCTCAATAGATTGCAGCCAACTGTGAAGCATGGTGGTTTCAGCGTGATGGTTTGGGTTGGTGGGAGATCGAGCTTAGTGGAGTGCATTGGAAACATAAATTTTGAGAAATATGTCGAAATATTGGAGGAAGGACTCTTGCCACTTTATTCCTCGGGTTTCGTGGACAAGAACACAACGTTGTTCCAGGAAGATGGAGCACCGTGTCACACTGATAGAAACACCCAAAAGTGGCAGGAAGAAAATGGTGTCCAGTAGTTGCCCTGGCCGAGCCAATCTCCTGATATGAACCCCATCGAAAACCCCTGGGCCATACTCGACCAGCAAGTCAAGAAACAATAAAAAAACCCAACTTCGATGAGCGATCTACTCTAAGTTTTGAAGCAAGAGTGGGCGAAAATCCCACAATCTAAAATTCAAGGGATGATTCTCATGATGTCCCAAAGAATCAACGAACTCCACAAAGCGAAAGGAAGATCTACTAGATATTAATTCATGTGAATATGACTGAAAAATGTAATTTTTTCTGAAAAGGTGGTGTCTATTTACTTATGACCACACTGTGTATATCCCTATTTACCAGAGTGAATCAGCATTGTTTACTATAAACAATGCCCTCAGAGATATATCCCTATTTACCAGAGTGAAGTCTTTTTTTCCTCCCCTCTCCACCAGTGCATCAGAAAGTGAGGTTTTTCTGGAATAGCTCAGATAAATCCAACACAGAAGTATAGGAGAGGAAGCTTTGTTCCTAACATCTTTGCAGATATATACAAGGTCAGAACTAATGAAAAATGTTGGGGACTTTTACATAAATTCATGCATTAATAGGGGAAACTATGACAGAACCACTGGCTACAGAAGGATGATGAATTTTGGATACCTATTGAGAATATGTTGTGCAGTGTTAAATGTGTAAGTCTTAATTTATCTTTTACAAGAGGCGAAAAGTTCTAAGGTCAAGATCTTAAAAAGACTGAGAGTCTAAAGAACCTGATAAAGCAGCAATGACTGGTGTAGTTTTCTAAAGGTGTTTGATAACCTATGTCAATGATCTGAAAACTTTTTATATTTCATACCATCTAACTATGGCCATCACGAGGCTTAAGATTTAAAGTAGCATTAAAAAAAAAGGCCTAAAGTTAGGATTTCCATTTTGGATGCTCAAAGAACTCTTTCTGAAATACTCTTGATATGGATGTCTATCTCATTTAAATAAAACATATTTTCTCTTGATTATGAAGAAATGGCAACTGTTACCATGAATCAGTCATAATAGTCATTTGAATCAAATAAAATGTTTGCCAGCTATTTTTATTTCCACAGCAAACAATGAATATTTTCTTTGGAGATTAAGAAAAAAAAAAGAAACCAATTTTCTATGGAATTTTTTCCCAGAATTTTATTTCTTTGGTTTCACCCCAAGGTCATAAACTTCGTTAAAGGGCAACTTTGCTTGTTTTCCAAATAAATCTCATATGACTTTTTCAAGTTTCAGCAGAATTTTCAATAAAATGACACATGACATTAGTCTCTAGCACAAATGGTTTTAGAGTAAGATATTGATTCAAATCTGGAGGTCACCCACCAACCAAAATATTGACCCCTCTATAAGTTTTAATGGATGACTCAACTGTGCTAAATATTTATTTATTTTTATCATTTTGCCAAGAACAACTCTATGAATTGAGTTTTGTATAAATATAAGGGGGTGAGGTGTTACTGGTGGTCAATGTGCTATGCAATAACACCTCTGTTTCTCTAAAATTAAGAAAATATGCTATTTTGCTGAAAGAATATGTGCACTTATCTGTTAACCCATTTAAAAACAAACATTGTAACTTAGCATAAAGAAAACTAGCTTGTTGGTAAATCAGTTCTTCTGAATAATGAGCAGGTTAATTCAAGTAAAAATAAACAATTTTATACATAAAATACACTGAATAATATAGTGTTAATATAAACCTACCCTGATTATGATGTGTAGTGACTTACATAAAACTGATACAAATTACATTTCATACAGAAACAGTTGTTCAAATAATTTGATAATATAAAAGCATCTCAACCAGCCTGAAGAGCCCTGGTCATGGGCAAAAGGCCTTGTTGGCACTGGATATAGCAGATATGTTGTGGTTCATACATTATTATACACTCTACTTTCACTCGGACATTCTTATAAATAGTTGTCATTATCTAACACATTACAACTATAAATGTGTTTTCAGGTCATTATTACACATGAACTTTAACCTAGAGCTGACTGCTAATTTTTCACATAAAAAAGTTTACTTTTAAAGATCATATTTTGAGCATTTAGGATTTTTTATTTTGTTTTAGCAGTCTCAATATTTTTAAAAATCTGTTATTAAAAATTATTTAACTTTGTAATTATGGTAAACTTTTTCTCTACAGTCAATAAATATTAAGCAGTGATGGTCATTAACTAAACATTTAGTCTTGAATTTATCTTTTTACTGTCAAAAACAAGATTCTGGTCTACCTTTTCTGATTCATCCTTTTCTATACTGTAATATGGATTGATGGCAGCATGGTGTATGAGGCTGATTATTTTATTCCTATAATAGAAAAATATACTATGTTTCTTCTGGTAAGCAAAATCACTGACCTATAAATGAGGCATAATGTTATAAATGCTAAAAATATAAAACTGAATTTTCCAAACTTTTCATTCCACTACTTAAATAGGAAGATTGTACAAACTCCTAAAACATTTTAACACTTGAATCAAGTTTCTAATATTCTTTTGCTCAAAGTAAAACAAGATCAACATTTTAAGTATCTCTTCATACTTTAAAATTAGTTAAATCAGGTATTTTAATCTATGTACAATCCATTGATACCCTTTTTTATTGACAGGGACAAAACTACACACAGTACTCCAAATGAGGCACGGCCATTCTTAAGCAAAGTTACACTAACCTTCTTGCTCTTAGGTTCAATAAATTTTCAACATAAACACTCAGCACAGGGCTTTTCAGATTTTTATCAACAATAACTTTAAATCCTTTAATTTTCCAGAACATTTTCTAATAACATTTCCACATTTTTACATCCCAATTATGTGATTTTACATTTCTCAATGTTAAAAATAATTTTCCCAATCCTGACTAATCAAGTAAGACCATGAATGTTATTTTCAATCTAAGAAGCATCCTCAAAAAGAATCAGTTCTTTCCAGTCTTAATGTCATCAGTAAATTTGAAAACATTACTGTTTAAAAAGCTATCCAAATCTGTTATAAATAATGAATTATTATTATCAATCATCTGTAAGTACACTTTGAAGTTTGATTTAAAGGAATCAAGTTTTAAAACAATTCACTTATGCTTGTAGCTTACATTATATATTAAATCTAAATAATTTCTTTAAAAAGATCCTTCTAAGTAAATTGAAGATTTTAGAATATTTCTAGATTGAATGACTTTCAAAGATTCATAAAAACTATATATAATTTATTACAGAATTCTAGGGTTTCTTTACATAACTTCCTCTTTTTCTTCTTCCAGTATGTCTTAAGAATCTATACAAAGTATTTATTTCTAATATCAAATTAAAACTTAGTTTTACTAACTTTGGTATCTGTTTCTTATATCTAATTAAAAGATCTAAGGTCCCCGTTCAAGAATTTCTACCAGTTCAGTTAATTAGAAATACATAAATTTACTCCTTACTGCATCTTTCAACTTTAATTGGTCCTAGATACTTATTTTAGAATATCAAACAATACAGATTATAAAAATATACAATTCTCATATTTCTTAATTTATCCTTTTAAATGTATTTTCAAACTTTACTGGATAGATCTTATTATTTACTATGGAATCCCTACCTGTACTTAAAGAAATACAAAATAAATGTTTCACATTTCTTTAACACATATTACAGCTTTAACAGACTATCAATCCTTATTCTTAAGTCTTTACCAATACTGTCAATACAAATATCTTAATTTACATAGCTTATTCCTTTAACATATCCTTCAACTTTATAAATCTTAATAAAGGGTACTTGTATATTTACCAATATTGAAGTTTTGGATTTTTTAATCTATTCCTCTAACACACTGATTAATCTGTTAGATCTTATACCCTAATTGTGGAATATCTATAATTACACTTATGTATCCCAGATATTACATTTCATAATCTGTTCCACCTTTAATATACTTCCCATTACAACAAATCTCTAAAGCATATTTTAATACAGCACATACATACATACAGATGACTTTTAAACCAGCTGGTGTTGACTGATGTGTCTATAATCAAGCTATTCTTCTCCCACTTATTTTGCTCCATGTCAGGAATCTCTAATTTCTTGAACATATTTCTAATAACTGATTCTGGAACTTTATTTACTCGTATCTTATTCCTTTGAATAGCTTCTTTCAAGGAGCACTGGAGAAAAAGTTGACAAAACCCTACACCATCTTCATGTTCAAACCAAAAGAAAAAACAAGAACATCAGAGGAGTTTAACAAACTGTACTCTTACCAATTTCATATATGGAGACATACAAGTATTACAATATGAGATAGATTTTGGGTATTTTTTAACTGAAATGATAGTTTACATATGTCAGAATTTAAAAACCTATTCTTTGCCAATTGTCAAAATAAAAAGGCTTTTAGTTATATTTCTTAATAGTATAAATATATATATATACTATGTTGTTGTTGGGCTTAGGATTCTTCTACTGTAGGTGTCTGTGACTTGTTAGCGATAAATTCAATGATGAATAAACAGCACGCACTTAACTTGTTTTCAAAATAATATATATATTCAGAACAAGTTAACGTATGTACAATAACTTCTTCACCACTATAGATATTATGAAAATATCATAAATACTATATATGTAGTTCTCTCCTTCTTGTCAAATATTTACTTAGGCCTATTCAAATACTTTAGAATTTCAGTTAACAAGCCGAACTATCTTCTCTATTTCTATCACACTAGTATTTTCTGTGATTCACTTACAATTGTGGCATGAGTCATTGTAATCGTTTGGTCTTCTTTCTTTTGAAGATCCTCTGCTCCTTTTGTCAAAGTGCACTCAGGCTGATTCAATTACTTTAGAACCACTCTTTGACAGATTAAAATTATTTTTCTTATCTTCTTTTCAATTGTTAGTTTCACTCTAACATATTAAACATTAGGCCTATCAATTCTACGGTAGTTAACTTTACACCAACTTTATTCTCTTTTGCTATTATCTGTCTACTTCTGTCTGTTTGCTGCTTCCCGCTTGTCTCACGCTATTTATATCTTTATTACCTAATCACCCGTCCACCTTCTATATACTCTACATCAATATATATATTGCAAGTGACATTCAATATTCTCAAAATCAAAGAATTATTAACAAAACTTCCTACAATCATCTGCTTTTAACTCATATTATAAAAACTAAACAATAATAAAACATTCACTCACAAAATTAAATTAATCAATATTATCTGAACAAAACAGTCTTTTATATCATGACAACATAATTAATTTTTCATTTACTTATTAATCTGAATAAGAAATAACAATATGAAGTGAGTCCCAAATGACTACTGAAGGTGAAGCCTGTAATGTAAAAAATCTAGCAAAAAAAAATTTACTTTTGTTTTCTTGTGATTTGGTTTACAACTTCTAGTTAGACAAATATATAGAACTAGTAGATGCCCACTGAAACAATTCAATTGCAAATTTCCTAAAAACGGTTAATAAATAAATGTGCCGTCAATCCAATACCTTTGCTCATAGTGTTGCGTCAGCGAGGTCACGTGACTAGTGTCACGCCACCTCTCGAACCTTCGGGAATAGTCGGGAGATTACTAGATATAGGGTAGTCTGGTATATATATAAGAGGGTGACAACGTGACGGGATAGTGTGTGTAGACAGTGAGTAATTGATCTGCAGTCAGAGAGTATTATTGAAGTTGAGCACGTTCGTTGTTATAGCGTTTGTTTTAGCGCGACCTTGTTGAAATTAAGTGTATCGTAAAGTTATTTTCGGAAAGAATAAACCAGATTTATTAAGTAAGGACTTGTTTCGCTAGTTTCATCGAACGAATTTACGGGAAATCAATTAACAAACGGAGACGTAACAATAATTTTACCCATTATAATTTTGTATGTCTATTCCTTATGTTAGCAAAATTTTAAGTTAACAAAAATTGAATAACATAATAAATTAATTAGGCCAAGAATCGTCGAATGTGTTTTTGAATCATGGCTACTGTACATAAATTTGTGAGCTAATATTTCTGCACGGTTTTAGTCTAACTTAGATTAGTGCTATCTCTAATTTTGAATAATGTTAATGGTTCATTTGGATACTATTATGAACTATAATACATAAAGGTAAATTTCGAGCATTGATTTATTTGGTGATTTTGAGTTGACCTAATTTTCTCAAATTGTTTACACCTTGCGGCAGTTCGGAGTATTTTTAGTTCTACTGTGGAAAGCACTTGACAACTGACAGTTTTCAGCTGGTGTTTGATTACAACCGAACCAGTTGCAATTTCAACGTCTTTAATATCAATATCTCGATTTTTGAACTCGAATAATTAGTGATAATCTCAATATACTGTAATTACTAACTTTCACTATGACAGATGTGTGTTTGTGGCTACTTATAGAATTGTCTTGTGTTTAACATGCAGGATTTTTTATTTTGGAATATTATTTATTGTGTGTGTGTGTGTGTGTACGTATATTAGAACATTCCTTTACGCTCAGCTGTAGTGGCGACTATTGGTTCCACTATTGTTATCTTCTGTTCAGAAATGTGTCATTGTCTTGTAAATGTAAGGCAACGGAGATTTTGAATTCATGTCAGTCTTAGCTTTAAGCAAATTAAAACTAAATAAAAACCTGGAACGTTTTTTATTAGCCAATCTACCGGACGTTTCTTGGACTTTTACTAAAACCAGTTTCACGCTTACCGTTTAACATTGCATTTAACGGTTTGTTTCGTAGGCTGGTTCGCCTGAGGTAAAAATGCGTTTTACTTTTCAATGGCCCACTTTGAGCATAGGGTTTAACAGGTTGTCTCGATAAGTCTGCATACCAGCCAGCACGTGGCGCATTACAGTGTAGTCGTAACAGTAAATGTTCTTATTATATATATATATATATTAACTTTTCATCGGACAAATAACGTGGAATGACTACTACCATCTGCTTGATAACTTGTGGTTTTTAACCAGGAATGATATAGACCGTATAACGGTAGGTGCTTTTATTAAAGAAGAAATATAAAAAAAAATATTGATTTCACAAACATAACATTTAGTAATAATATCATTATAATTTGGTAAAAAATTGTTCTTAGTTATCTATTTATTAATTTATTTTACAAGCAAAATTGCTAACATCAATGATCATTTCAAAGGGATCTGTCCATCTGAATCCACAGATGGGATAGGTGGGGGGG